CAAAGCTCTATTAATTGTCCTGGATCGTGCTTCAAATGGCAGCAAATCATTAATAATTCTGGTTAGCAGACCGTTACTCCAAATATTCTAGGGTGCCTGTTATTCGCTTCAAAGTCTTACTTCTATTTTATTGTACGTTGATAAAGTCTAACATAACTAACGGTGCCGCCATTCAATGAGTAACTCATGGACTGCGTGTCATCGAGTGAAGCCGACAAGCAGAAAAGCTAACACTTACAATTCCTTGATTTTTGAGGAACTGGAAAGCGTTTTTTTTTTTTTTTTGGAAGAAGTTAATTGTAACTGAAGGAATTTATGAGAGAAAACCTTGGACAGATATACTAAATTCCTAATTGCGCTCTGGTAGCATCAGAACTCTTCAAGAGAATCTGATGAATTTTGTTGGCTTTAGTTACATAAATAAAAGGTATACAGCCATCGAAAAAGACTTGTCGGCTTCGTCCTCCAAAGAAAACAGAAATGCAGGAGTTGCCCTGTCAAATCAAGTTCAGTACCTGATCACCGAGCAGTCAAGCTAATGATAGACATACTGCTTGTTCCTACCTTGTTTTGTCAAAGTCAAAACAAGCGCTTTCTGTTTCTGTTATCCCTGAAAGGCAACTATTCGGGAAGTAACAGGTGCAGTAGTTGCAAATGTTAGCAGTAGCCATCCGTCGACAGGGTTGTCGTTGGCTCCCTCTTTCAAAATTTGCCTACAAGCAAACCAGTGACGAGTTTAACCTCCTTGGCAAAGGTCAGTACCAAATTACCATCGAAACAAAGAAGTTAATTGTAAAGGGGAGGTTGTCTCACTCAAGGAGCCGAATTCTCACAATGCAAATCGACAACAGTGTAACTTTGCGTTGCTCGTTTGCGGCAAGGAGCTTTTGTTTTGTGTTATTATGTATCCATAGTTCTAGACTTCAGGATCATTATCTTACATGACGCTTCGGGGATGCTACAGAACGATGTTTGATACGAACAATTCCTCAACAGCCAGTGAACCACTGGGATCGACTTGCAAAAAACGGTTATTTTTTTTCTCTTTGCCTACAATTTCTCATACAAGTGAATTCAAGAATTCTTGATAAATGAATTCAAGCAATTTTTCATTTAACCGTTCATTTTTTCGATTTTTGAGTCCTGTTGCAGGTATCACGATTTGAGCTGTCTCAGTGAAGCAACCTTCAATGAAGAGATGTGCTGGTGCTACGGTGATCACTGTAATTCCATCCAGGCGTCCATACCACCGATGATACTCATTTTCCTCTGTGCCTTGTCAATTCTTTTTTTGTAATTGTTACTTAAAAAAAATAAATCGCAAACAGAAGTAGGAAACTGGAGAAAAGTGGGAATGAAACGGAAACGAGAGAGAGGAAAAGAAGTAAAATGTTTGGCTTTTAGCTGTGATATGAAATGTTTAGCTGTGATGTGAAATGTTTGCTTTTTAGCTGGCAGTGCCTCACTGACTTTTTTTAACCTCATTTTCTTGTTTTATCTGGAGTCCAGTTCAGTTAAGTTTTTGATAATAGATGCTCTTTGAGTAACAGTGATGCTCATAACACAGTAAAAAGTAGCACTGCTGTGATGCAACTCCACAGTGGATAAACTCCACTATGTAACAACTTTCTACGCAGCACTACAACACGACGGTTTCATATCACATGCTGTTAGTCCTACAGTCTTGCTTTTTCTCCTTCTTACTTCATTTTAATTCCTGTCTTAATAATTTTGTAGCCCAAAATCGAATCCATAAGACTTCAGTGTATGCTAGGAGGCCGAGCCTTGTTAGTGCCAAACCACGCTGTATTTTAGTAATTGCTTATCCAGACCGTTTTCACGTTGTACTAAGACGAACTGAGTATACTGCTGTTATGCCTGGTGGACACTCTTTATTTATAGCAATTCTTTTTACTAGTCATTCATTTGTTTCGGTGGTAAATTGGCAATGGCATGTAACGAGGTATCAAATTTGTCATCACATTGTTTGTAAGCAACTCGCAAGAAAGGGGATCGCTGAACGCCTTGCCAACGGTTGGCTGCTTCTGCCAATTACACCATTTGGACTATTTCTCGAGTGCTTCTGCTTTTCACAAAAAGCAAATACCGAGGAGGTTTTGGAAAGTCCTGCGTGCCACTGACCATTGATTTTACTGGAAAACAGACGTCGCATCACTTGCAGGGCTTTAATTAAAGTCTTCGTAGAAATTAAGGGATGAAATCGGTGGCTTCAAGTTATTGCTTCTTTGCACATGCAGAAATAGGTGAAAACTATCAAAATAATATTTTCTGCTAACTTAGTCACAACTTAAACATATTTTATCACAAATGCAGAGGACATATAACACATCTACGCAGTCGTACACAAATCCTGAAGAGAATGCCCCACCTTTATTTTTCAGGATAACTTTTGGCACATTTTTGGTGGCTCTTTGAATTTTGTAGTTTATCACTCCCCTTTTGTGGCTTACTTTTTTTGCCAATTTGCGGTCATTTGCCTGGACTGAGTTCCTTTCTCATACAAACCTTTAAAACAGCTTAACGATCTTTGCACCCGATCACCAGAAAGGAAAACATTTAGGTCTCGCGTTTAGCTACAAATTTGCAGTGAATAAGCAAGAAAATAGATTAATTAAAAGGTATCACTTCCATCAACACTTTAGTCGGATCGACACCATATTTTAGATTGACTGAAGTCACGAAGCCTTATGCTTGGTGACTAGACTGAACTGCTTTCTGACAGTTTTCATTATCACGGCGCCGTGATCCATATCCGATTCCTGAAGCACCAGTTCCAGTCATTAAAAATCACGATGCTACTGTGAAGGATTTACAGGTTTTCAAGATTTCTTTCTGATGGTAAATCGATACTGGCTCATAGCATAATCACTACCAACAAATTTCTAAAACAATTTCCTAGAGGATAAAAATTTCAACAGCGAATAATTGTTGCTAGCTATGGACTACTTCTTAAATAGCCACTAAATGCCTCTATTTATCAGGATAAACTATGCGTGCGCTTTTGACCGTAACATATCAGAACCTGAGATTTTGCTCCGCCAACTTCAAAAAACAGCAGAATGCACTTCACACCAATTGCGTTAGTTCTATAATAAAACCCTGTGTACCTATATTCTCTGGAGCCCAGCTTTTGTTCAGTTCGTATCCCGAACCTCGAGACATCCCAGTACGTTCTGGCCAGCGACAACCCCAAAGCATTTTCTCTACGAAGGGGAAGTAAGAATTTGGGGCAAAGATGCAAACACGCGACGCGGGTGCTGTAGTGCGTGGAAATATTACTGCCTATATATCCCTTAAGTAAGTACCCATGGCAGATACTACTACCTAAAGCTGTAGTTCAAGATTTATCTGTCATAGCTGTACACGGCGTATAGGAACATCCTAGTAACATCACTAACTAATCATCCGGGAGGCTTTGATTTTTTTTTGTGTGTGTGTGTGTGTGCGTGCATGTATGTGTGTTTGTGTGTGTATGTGTGTGTGTGCATATGTGTGTACATGTGTGTGTTTAAATTGGCATTCTACCGCGATAAGGTAGGTCTGTATTGATTGTGAGCACCAGATGATAACCAAATAGTTGCTAATTTGCTACTGTACGAGGATCGATAATTAGAGTTCCAAGTGCTTACTTCAAAACTATCGTCGGCACCCCGAATTGCACTGCCCACTTTGTTGCACACAAAATATCCTACTTTATCATCATTTCGTGAATAGATTGCAAAAACATGACGCCCCTCGTAGTGCGTCCTAAAACAGTACTCGTAGAAAATGGCGATTATAACGATAAAAATGACAGTGTTATGAGACGTATCACTGTCTTGTTCAGCAGCACTTAGAGAATTCACAACTTCCATTTCCTAGAGTGAGAGATGCAGATACACTAAGCTCAAGTAAAAATTGCTAGACTGCTTCTAGAAAAGATGATAAATTGCCAAGGATGCTGCGCTGGGAAATATCAGTTTGTTCCTTTTGCCTCCTGCAAAACAGGAAAAGTACGTATTCTCCCCCTCCCTCTCTCTTCTCCTCTCCGCCCTTATCCTGCAGGCAGAAGAAAAAAGGCACTGGCTGGGATA